ATGCTTCTTTTGTTAAATTTATTTCTAAGTGTTTTGTTCTTTTTGATGCTATTGTAAATGAAATTGTTTTCTTAATTTCATTTTGGATTGTTCATTGCCAATGTATAAAAATTCAACTGATTTTTATATATCAATCCTGCAACTTTGGGCAGTGCCTGTGGCTCAAGAAGAAGGGTGCCAGCCCCATATGCCGGAGGTGGTGGGTTCAAACCCAGCCCCAGCCAAAAACTGCAACAACAACAACAACAACAAAAATCCTGCAACTTTGCTAAAGTTATTATTTCTAATAGTTTTTCCCAAAATATTAAGGGTGTGCAAATGTTTTTATGACATGGATACACTGTATAATGCTGGAGTCAGGCTATCAGTGTGCTGATCACTAGAATAGCATTCACTGGGCCCAACAGTTGAGTTTTCGATCCCTTCCCCTCCCGCCTTCCTGGTTTCCAGAGCTCTTCTTGTGACCATGTGTACCAATAGTTCAGTCCCCACTTATTAGTGAGAACATACAGTGTTTCTTTTTCCATTCCTGAGTTACTACACTTAGGATAACCATCTCAAATTCTACTCAAGTTGCTATAAAAGATATTATTTCATTCCTTTCTATGGGTTGTAGTATCCAGGCACATAGTAGGCCCTGTTAACCATTGACCTCTTGGTCATGTGCCTGGGTGGGGACGTAAGGGGCTCATCAGTTAATTTCTAGGTTTTTCTCTTGGGCTGGCCAGTTTCCCAGACAGTGTCTGCTGTCCCACCTCTGTTATGTGGGGAAAAGGGTTTACAAGTGTGTTTCTAGAGGAACAGAAGAGGGAGGAGGGAGGGGTCTCACAGTTGGGCGTCCAGACTTGACTTAAACTCCTCTCAGATAAGTTATAGCATGACTAGGGTCTGTGTCGAGATCCTTTGCATTCAGGCTGTCCTGAAAATAAACCTGTCTTTTGCCAGAGTGGGGAAGGCACAGTTGCCCTGGCGTGGGAAATGGTGTGTAGCAGTTGAACTCCTTACAACGGTTATTGGTCATCGTGCAGCCTGCCCACACCCAGTCTCTTCCCTCGGAGTGACCTGGTCCCTTCAACTACTGAGACTTCTGAGCTTTGAAGTGTGAGAAATTTGTCCTCCCAACCCTTTCAGGCACGTCACATCACAGTCAGTTAAACTCTTCCTTGTGCTTTCTGGGTTTTAAAATTGTACTGACATTCCACCCAATTTTCTTCATTCTTCTAGATTTATGATTTTTTTAAAAATCCCTTAAATGGGATTTTAAGAAAATTGGAGGTAGACATGTGTTTACCATCCTTTCAATAGAAGTTCTGCTATTAAAAGAAGTTAATTCTTTTAATAAGTTCTTTTTCTTAAATTAACCAAGAATGGTAGAATTAACCAAAGTTCTAGAAATGTATCTATATAATGTCCTCCAAGACAAGAGTTCTGAATGGGGCTGACTGAAGATGCTGTGTGCCGCCAGAGTGCTTCAGACCCCAAGGACTGAAGACCTTTCCCCAATTACCACAGATTTTTAACTTATACTTACTAAGATCTATAGAGACATACTTATGCTTGGATTTTCTAAAGTCATTCCACACTTATAGATATATACAAAGGAAAATAGAAGCAGAAATTGATTAAGATATTCTTAGAACTCTGCATTGAGAATTGTAACTCTCTGAATCACTTTTTAAAAATGTACTTTAAGGCTTGGTGCCTGTGGCTCAAGCAGCTAAGGTGCCAGCCACATACACCTGAGCTGGTGGGTTCGAATCCATCCTGGGCCCGCCAAACAACAATGATGGCTGCAACCAAAATATATATATATTATATATATATATACACTTTAAAATGTATATATATATATAGTATATATATATTTTAAGACACAAAATGTATATATATAGTGTGTATATATACTTTAAAATGTTTTATTTGTGGTAAAAGCACATAATAAAAATTTTATCATCTTAACCACTTTTAAGTGTACAGTTCAGTAATGTTAAATATATTCCCATTGGTGTGTAACAGAATTCTAGAACTTTTTCTTCTTTTTTTTTTTTTTT